TCCCTGGAGCAATTGAGGGTTAAGGACCAGGCACATGCCACCCCCCTGGTCGAGCACTTGCCCCTCAAAAAGTGTCTCTCTGGCACTGTTAAGTGTCTCGCTCCAGGGCCCAATAGCAAAATCACTCCGTGGCCACTGGGATTTGAGCTGGTGATTTTCCAATCACAAGCATAGCCATTCAGCCTACTGAGCTACCCTCCCGACTTTGTTTACTTTGTTCACAGCACAACCATGAGTCATTCACTTCAATAAGCTACTGCTTCCATACAACTTAACCGCCATTCACCACATGGCCATTCTGTAGACACTCTATACACCTATCTACGACAACTGAACAATTAACATTTATACCTGTCCCTGAAATTTAAAAATAAATAATAATTCCATAAGATCCTTGTGGCAGGCAAGATCCTAAGTGCCTAAGATATTTGTATTTGTAAAATATTACGATTGTCACGTTAACTGTCTTTGTGATTAAGAAAATTCATTCACCACAAGATCATGCCAATTTCTAGACTTTTGGAAAATCATGTATAAGAGGAATTACTTAATGACTACTCATAACTAATAGCATTAGAATTAACAAATCAAATCTCTTTTAAACTACCTGTGATAGAGTTAAGTGAGAAAGTTACTCAAAAACTATTTCATGGGGGGATAAAGGAAAATAACCATGGTAATTCAAGCGGCAAGTGAGCTCAGGACAGATTGATGTTGATTACAGTGATTGTGGGTTTGAGTTTCATTCTGCGTGTCCAAGAATGCCAATTATTGAGTGGAAATGGAGGGTATTGTGTCTTTCAACCAGAGTCTTTCTTAGAATCTGGTTAATCATTTAAATGATGGATTGGGTGCCAAATCCAAGCAGTCACCAGTCAACCAATTGCCACACAAATATTTCAGGTATATACTGTATGTTTTTCATCAGAAGTTTACGATATACAATCGTATTATGAAAAGCCTTGTTATGCTGAAACATATTACTCACCAATTGCATTGTATTTATATGTTTGCTCACTTTAAGGTGATTATTTTATCTGAATAAAGACGTAAATAACATAATAATAACTTCTGAAATGAAATAAACAGGCATATAGAGTGTTTACCACACAGACGTGTTTAAGAAAATTGCCATAAACTTTTCACTGAGTTTAAACTACCTTTTAACATAACATTAAACATTAAAAAAAGAAATAGCTGATCCTTGGTAAAAGAATGTTGTTGACAAGGAGAAAAACATGAGCATACAAGAGCCTGTAAAATTGTATTATCATAAAAAAAATATATTATTGTTTACTAGATTCTTTTCACAGAAGCACAACGTGCATATACAGTCTGTATTTACATATATAAACATGCGTTCATTTTAGTTCCTTAACTTGCTTTTATATAGACACACTTTTTTGCAGAGGTCTCAGATGTAACATACTGTAGGACCAGGGGAGCTGCTACGCTTCCTTTCCAGGATTATTCAGAACAGAGAAAATCCATCAATATACAAGAGCAAGGAAGATCAAATGGGATAAAACGTTACACCCCCATACTATATTTAAATCTTTAAACAAAACACTTCTAAATATATCCCAAAAGTATAGCCAAAGGTGATGCATGTATTGTACAAATTCCATTGAGTTTGTGTATATTTTTAGCAGTCTATTGTGTTTTTCAGCATGCATATCGTGAGCCTGTGAAAGAAAGGTGCTCAGATTTATTCAACAATTCTACTGCAGCTTGACTCCGTATAAGTGTCATCAATAATTGTACCCAGCTAGTTTTTCTTTAAAGAACTGAATACTATCTAATATAACCAGCTGGACTGAAACACAGAGAGGATTCTGAAGCAAACTAACTACAGATTTCTTTTGCTTGTTAGTGACAGTATTTTTCTTTTATCTTGTTTGTACAGTCCATTTATTGTTTTTCTAGACTTCATAACATGTATGTCTAGAACGCTTATCTTGTGATTTTAATTGCCTTTCCTCACAAAGGTCTACTGCCCCATACAGTACATGCATACTTATGACGTGCAGTATCCATTTTATGTTTGCGTGTTGTCCTCAATTCCATGCATTGTGTAGCTGTATTTTAAAATAATTATTTACCATACAAAATAATAAAAATTAAACATTTTTACTTCCAAAAGAAAACCGTATTACAAAAATTGTAATGTTTCAGATTTATTATTTCTGCCTTGAATACTGGCACTGATAAATGCAATTCTTCTTGATATGTAATCATCCAAAGATCTTATTTCACAAGTGTGGTAATGAAACTGTACTAAAAGAAACAGCCTACAGCTTAGTGTTACAAATGAAATGTGAATTGTGAGTAGCGGAGCAATATATCTTGTGTCAAACATTTCTGAATAAGTTTACAACTAAAAATAAACTCTTTCACTGCTCCCCTCTGCCGTTGTAGTAGAGAGTCATCCTTGACAGTGTCTATCTTTTGCAAGTAAGATTGTACCTTTCAGGAAGATAAGAAAGTTTGTTTTTTTTAAAAATGGTTAGTGTGCAAATGTTGTGCTATTCCAGTTTGGAGAGGGTGTTTTCACATACATCAAGAATATATGTATTTCATTTTGTGTCAGATGCCAACCCTCAAAATAAAGAAAAATGTTACCTATTGCATAGTTTCTGTAAAAGATTGTCATTTTCTCAGTATTCTACTACACCAGTGTTTCCCAACCCAGTCCCCAGGACCCCCAAACAGTCAATGTTTTTGCTTCATCCTAGTTCCCTGCCAGACAGTGCACATCTTTGCTCCCTTCCAGTTCCAAGGACTGGGTTAGGAAATACTATACTACACTATCCAGTCAACAAGAAGTATAAATATTCCTTCATCACTTGCGGATGAGGTGATTCAGAAATTCAGAAACTTTCTGAACATGTAAACAGCTAAAGACAAGACTTGCTGTATCACTGTTGATTTCTAGTACATTGATTGGAATCACAGTGTTCTGGAGGCAAGAGAATTTGTTCAGTGACTTATGCGCTCTTTTTCTGCTTCAGTACGATCCACATTTTAGGGAATCCCATTTGTCTCCCAGTAGCTTATAGTCACATTCTTTCCCGGGGGAAATGTAATTGCCGGAGTGCTTGATGGACATCTTTCCCAGCATCCCTTGGGAGATTCCTCACGGCTGCAGGGATCTCCATGTGTATAGGCTGGGGGGCAGGGCTGGCTCAGAATAGAAGTTGTCAAATGATGTATTAATGTTAAATCATAACCCCCTAAGTATGTAAAGCAATCACAACTTGTGTCAGTATAATCTACTGTATATCACAGAATTAATGGCCCAGGTAAGTATATGATTTGTTTATTTGTTTGCTTTTTTATTAATCTTCCCTGGACACACAGACACATATATGACATATATATAAAGAAAAACGGTTGACTGTTTATAATAGCAAAGTGTTTGATGGTGGACATTCTGGAAGGGCCTGTGGACTCCACAAAAAAGGATGTCCTTTGGTGTGTGTCGTGCAAGGGCTGTGTTAGCCCCGGCACCGACTGAGAGAGAAACTTTGGCAATTAGCCACACAATAAAAGGCTAAAAGATGTTACATAATCACTGTGAATCAGAGGACGAAGAGCATTTCCCAAACACCGCAACAAGATTTCTGGTTGTTGCACAGACATCACTGACGAAATGGCATCTGATACACACCTGTTAAATGTATACTTAGGAATAAGATGCTGTGCTTTGCAGGGTTTACACTAGAGAAAGGCATTATCTGTTATAATAATGATAGGGTATGGGGTCTAGAAAAGAATGCATGTCATCAAAATGAAGACGGTCCGACTGAAAATATTACTCAGATTCCAGGCAAAGCACTTTACTTAAAACTGACGACAAGGTTGATTAAATGCTGTAAAAAATAATAACTTCCTATTTATCTCCGACAGCGGAAGTTGCCTGCAATATGGCTATGGTTGTATTCCTCCTCTGATGCGCTTTATTGTAGCATATTTCCCCATTATCTGATTTTTACAGTTATTGCTCATTTTATGAGCAATAACTGTAGTTTTATGAGCAAGCTCCGTAGTTCTACAGGCAGACTGGATACATACGAAAAACAATGCACCTTTAGTGTGGCCCTAAATTAAAAATAGAACACCATTGCAAACATTTCCTGTCTTTTGTTTTCCTTCTGGTTCACTGCTGCTTGTAGTAGATCTGTAGTACTACTAGACACAACTGTCACCCTGAACTGTGCCAGGAGAATGTCAAAGACCCAAGCCCACACCCAGCTCTATGTATAAAATCAAACATGCTGCATTATAACACATGAGAGGGTATTCCAACTATTTTAAATCAAATATTTAGTCCAGAGTGGAGAGTCCTTTCCATCTGATTATCCCATTACTTCTGTAAGCCCCAGTGGAGATGAATAATAAAACAGCCATTGAGGTGAACCATTGCTCATTGAGGCAAATGAGCTTAGAGTCATTCCCTACACAAAGAGCTTATGGCCTTGAGCAAAGTCAGATAATTCTGTTACTCTTGGCCACTGCGTTCCTAAGGCCGCAGACGTTGAGGAATGTATCAAATGGGACAAAACGACAATCAAATAAATATAAAAAACACAGAGATGCAAACTCAGCCACATCTTTCTATATATACCCATATAAAAATGTTCAGTATTACAGTATCATGCGTTCAGCCTACCCTTCAGTGCCTGTCACACTGAGACAGAACGTCCATGCATTTGGCAGTTGCATGTAATTAATTCATTAATGCATGTTGCTTAGAGGCCACACCAGCCCTCACTGCAGAACATGGACTTGAGAAAGCCTGTAGGCCCCTATGATAAGAGCCAACGACACAGAGAGCTGGGCTTGTGCCCTGAGGACTATGCTAAGAATGCTAATGGTATATTAGAATGACAAGAATGTCCATGTAACTCCCGCTGACTTTATCACCTTATGTTGAAAGAAAGCTACCTGCATTTATTTTACATCCAGCCAAGGTGGACTCAGGAATCACACTATACATGATACATTATCGTAGATTTATTTAGTATATATACTGCATAGAGCACTTTCCTTCTTGTTGAAATCACAAGCTTATAACCAGAAAGATTTTTATTTTATGTTCAAAGGCTATGACAGTATTTTGTGCTGATACTATATGTTAAAGAAACCTAGATAAAATCCACTTGAACTGTTATTTGTTTAACGTAAACTCAATAAGCAAGAAATACAGAACTGAGGTTCATCATTGAAGAAAATAGTATTAATTGGTTTTAGCTGTATCAACTCATGTTGACGTTTTAAGAATTCCGATAATCCTGTGGGTTTTGCTCCTGTGTGTAGTTCAGTATTTTTTTATTGGTATGAAAACTAAGACAATAAATTCATCTAGCCAGTAACACTTTACTTGATGGGGCAAAAATAATATAGTATTATGCTATTACTTAATGTATTAATTAACCACAAACTAAGTCTGAGTTACATACTGATCTCATGTTAATTCATTAGTAATGAATCGTGGCACAAGTTTTATCTCAAGCACTATGTTTGTTACTATATTTGTTTATGATTTGTACTTCAGTAGTAACTGAGTTATTACTAAGTATTTGTGCCTCTAAGTAAAGTGTTACTATCCAGCCATTGGTAGCCATTCATAGTAAATCCTCATATTTATTATGGCTAATATTTTTATTATCATACTTTGTGTTATTCTGGTAATTTTACCAGCCCTTTTCAGTTTTTTTTTACTTTATACTTTATAGCATGGCTTGTGTTCTAGTCACAGCAAAACCAAAAAATAAAGTACCGAAAAATACTGTTGTGCAGGAAGTTCAGGAAGAAGCCAATTGTTCTTGCAAATAAAAAGGCCATGATGTCATTTAAAGACTAAGCACAATTTTGGGTTTTCATTTCAAAGACATACTTCGTGAAAATGCATTCTTTAAAAATATTCACATGGTATACAGCATTATTCACTGAGATTGTGATAGTGCCACACAATGAAACCACCGGAGTATTTCATCTGATTTACAACACATTGCTTAAGTTCTGAAAAAGCATTTCTTTCCAAAAACAAATCAAAATAGATCATAGGGTCAAAGAGCCAAAGAGAGAAATGAATACCGATTAAGACAGCATCGCCCAGCATTCTCTCAAGTCTGCATGCCATTTGTAGAAAAAACCAGGAAGCGTGTGTGTGACACTGTGGGCAATGGCAGGAAGAGCTGTAATCCTGCAGAGGAAATGGGCTGAATGACTGAAAAACTGAAGAAAAAAAATCTGAAATGTGGGGTAGCTCTCTTTTTCCCACCAAAAAGCTCTATATCAGGAACAATACACGGCTCAGGAACTATAGCAGAACCAGACAGCCGTGTGCTGAGGAAGAGCAGCCGTGACGGTCCATAAAGTCCTGAGCAGAAGAAGAAAATCAAGTAAGGTCTGATGAGGGAGATACTGAAAAAAACACACACTTATAGGGGATTTGGTAACTACTGTATGAGGCTTCCCATTCAGGGTGTTTGTCTGCCTTGTGCTCTGTTCTGTCTGGTATACACTCCAAGCCCCCAACACTGTACAGGACAAATGGCTGGAAGACGGGTGAACGGATTTACCTTGTGAATCTTTGACAGTCACATATAAGCATATTGTTCACCATAAGAATCCCCAGTTTCACTGGTGAAGTACACAGTGTTTCAAAGGAAACGATATGCTGCTAATGAATGCAGAGTGATACATAGTCCCATAAAGAAAGCTGGAAATGGCATAGTAATTCACTTTAACTACAAAACACAAACACTGATCTTATTTAAAGATTACAATGTAATTCGTCTTTCATGAAGCTTGCGTTGGTGTGACTTGACATATGAAACTTTTCTAAACAGTTAATACAATAATTTTTTTTCTGGGAAATGCAAAGTGCTTATTTTATAAAATGAAAATATGTTTTTATGTTAGGAAATGTAATGTAATTTTTATTATTGAACTGCCACCCAATATAAAAGGGTCAACAAAATAATGCTGTTAACACTGTAACATTGTTCATGTCCCCCTGTAAAATTCTGGTTACTTATTTACCAGCTTAATGTCATTGTTCTTGACTGTATTTTTTAACGATAAAAGCTGGAGAACACGAGGGAGATTTCAGGGGGAAAGACGTGTAGACAAGCAGATATTTACACACAGCTCAGCGGTCTTCCTGTCTTTGTCAAGCTGAGAGCATCTTTTGTTTAACCCGTCGATGCAAGGTCCAGTCTTTCCTGTGCAAAAGAGGGAAAATGTGATGCATTATGCGATCACAATAGCTCAGAAACAGGACACAAAGGAAATGATTAAATTTAGGCTCTCCACATCTCGACGTTCACAAGTCCACTGCTCAAAGCCTGTTTAGGTTTCAGGATTCCTGCCGTTTTCCTATTTTGACTGCTGAGTTGATCGCTTTTTCACTTCAAACACATGCAAGTTAGATAACGCGCAGAGAGCTCCAGCCCCTGATGCAATTAGACCCCTAATTTCGCCTGGTCCTGAGGAAGGAAGTCTCCAGACAATCAGATATTAAGAAAAAGAAAGAAAGCAACAATCTTATACATTTATTTAGTTTTGTGATGTTCACTAAATTGTTTAGAGCTTCAGAGAAATCTGACGTCTGGTATATCATTCAAAAGTTTTTTAAAAATAGCGTGTGTGTATATACACATACACACACCCAGTATATTATGTGTACATGTATGCATGCTCACACACAGAGACCTACCAGTGTGTGTGTGTGTGTGTGTGGAGAAAAACACATGTCACAATCTCTTGCTTACACTTCTGACATGTTTTTACAGCGTCTTCCTTAAGCATTATTATTACATCAGACTCTCTGCGTGCGAGCGTTAGGCTTTATTTACATTTTCAACAATTTTCTGCGCTCGGCGCAGCGCTAAGAAGAGCAAATGCAGTTTCCATTTATAAATAGGCGATTTTAAGACCTGTTTTCTGTTCGTACTGCTTTACTCGCTCAGGAATAGCATACTGCGCTGACGGGTGCGTGTCCCCACACCTCTCCCAGTGCTCCTCCAGTCTGACTGGAATCCAGCGGAGTAAATTTAAAGTGCGACCGGGGGTCAAAAAAGAGGAGCGCAGGCTCTCAATTTCGCATCTCCCTGGTGGGTGAGAGAGAGTCTGTGTGTGTGTGTGTGTGTGTGCGCGCGCCTCTTGCATATCTGAAAATCAGCGCTGCTCAGCCAAACAGCACAAGGATGTGGCTGTTTCACGGTATTGCTGAAGTACTTTGGTAGGATTTAGTTTTGGATCTGCGGTGCACCGGTGAGTTTTGAAGCCATCGCTTCCAGTTCAAGTCGCTTCTTTAGTTAATGGACCGGATTCGACTCACAGACTAAATAAAATAAGTTGTCAGTAGATCTTACTTGGGATTCAAGAAGGATTAAAATGATACATTTCTACTTATTGGAAACATCATTAAAGATTTCCACATTATCGGCACTGGGATGACACATGGGCACGAATGGATTCCATATATATTCCCCTTTCGTCGTAGTTTTATACTACATTTTTATGGAAAAGTTTTTTTTAAGACAAACAAAGCAATTCAGGTGAGTCATATCGTTGTATTTTATATACAGTTTGAAGGTCGCTATTTAACTTTCAAATCTAACTATTTAATGACATTTAAAAGGGTGTCACCTTATGTATACTGCATGCGATTTAATTTATACACCCGATTTAGACTCGACTTTAAAAAACTTAACAATACTCTATAACATGTCGGTTATTTCCCCGTGTGTGGTTAACGATAGAAAAGTGCTTTTTTAAAGCCAGTATTTGTGACGTATCACGTGCTAGTTAATTTACTGGTACATGTGGTTTGTCGTTAAGTCAACATGTCATCTGTTAAGAAGGTGACTTTTTACCTTGATCGGAGGTGCCTGCGTGTATGATCATTCCTAAGTAACTCTACAAGTACCACAAACCTTCAGCTTTTTCTCTGCCTGATATTTGTTTCTTTTTCGTTTCTTTAATCGCGGGAATAGGAATCCGTTTAGTGGTTTCTGGAAGAATATCACTGTTCATATCCTGTTCTTATGATGTTTCTCTCCACCCTTTCTGGCGCAGTCATTTTGAACAGTCCGTGCTGCTCATGTTAAAGGAGAAAGGCTAAACTTATGCCAAAGTCCAGTTTCATTGATTTATTTTAGTAACTTGAATAACCCGCACTTTGATAGGCGACCTGAAAGGAAATAAAGATATTTCGTGGGATAATCCGGGTAGATGATGTGTATAAAGCACCAATAAAAACGATGAAATAACGTATGATACAGGAATAATTCGGACTGATCTCATCAGATAATCGTCCTGTTTAAAGAAGCAGAAGTATAGCCTGAAACCAAACCGTTTACCTCGTTGTGTGTTTGGATTATTGTGACAGATACTAATAGAACAAGAGCAGTTAATTAACCTTATTTAGGGGCATCTAGTTCTTTTTTGTGCCACTTTATGTATGTATTAGGTTTAGACAGAATGTTTTCCTGATATACCGGTATCAAATGTCACAGAAGGATTTATTATCCTTTATGGAAAGGTTGCAGGTCTCTTCCCGAAGGTTTTCTGTGAATCCAACAAGTTCATGCATGTATGTATGTGCAAATTCCAAAGGTTACAGAAGTCAGAGGGAATATATAATAATGAGAGAGAGAGAGAGAGAGAGAGAGGGAGCGCAGCAAACTCTCACCCTTGCTACCTTTGTGAAATTTTTGAAATACTTTGTGCTGTCTGCTGGATTGCTCAAAGCCTTAAAAACGTAAGTCACTGTATTATGGAGGGAAGCCTATATACTGTCCCTTAGCATGATGGGTTTGCCTGAGACCTTACTGTTAAAACATGCTACTGTAGTGGTATAGGTGCTTCTTCTATTGTTACTGATTTTTAGAATGTAACTGTTAGTACAACACATATTTAATCTAACTAAGTCTAATTAACTTTACTTGTATTTTCAAGCAGTTTAGTAATAAATATAAAAATGACTTTCAGTCACCAAAAATGAACATTTTAAGTGAATATTTAGTTGTTTACTTTTGCAGTATTGCAACACTGCATTAAAAACACAAATTTGAATATAGTCAATTACAGACATTGTTACAAAAAGCAAAATTATATTTCTAAGAAGTTTCCATAGATTACACACCATGTGTATTGTTGTATATTTTGTACATCTTTAATGATGCTAAGACTATCCTCAGCTGCCGTGAGATCAGAGATAAATACTAGTATTCGTGGGAAATTATGGCCAAATTAAACACAACTCATTTAACATTACTGCAGTCAAGTAACTCAAGGAAAGACTTTTTAATTATCGTTCAAAATCTTTTGACAAATGCAGAACTAAACATCTTACCTTGTCCTAGTTTATAATGAACGTTAATGTTTTTATTTTCCAATTAGTTTCCTGAAGTGTATGCATATAATATTTTACAAGACAAAAAGTTATTCTTTTCTAACATGACTATTAATACGCTGTTCAATAGAAACTTTCCTTTTGTCACAACATATTTACAGCAGAGAAAGAATACCTGGAAATTCATTCGATGTGTAGAGATACACCAAGCTAAACAGAAACTGTAGAATTGTCCATTGACATTTCTGTCAGTGTGTACTATTACAGTTCTATTGAGTATTCTCTGGACTCTACAGCAATTGTACATTGTACAGCAATGTTTGTGGCAGTAGATGCTGTCATTCCTTAGCAAGTCAGCAATGATCTCAGGAAATTAATCCAAAAATTCCACATTCCTTTGCCTGTTTTAGGAAATGTTTCCAACTCTCATGCAATTCTTCAAAAAATGACATGCGAAGTCCTCGTGCAGTTTGCAGGTGTAAAAACCTTCACATCTACTAAAGTTACCACCAAAGCTGCCCCAAAACTCACATGGACAAAGTGAGCTCAAGAAGAAAACTCTTTTTTGAATAATATGATAATAAAATATCATACACTGCATTCAGTAAAAGGAATGTATGTCTCCCTTGTTTTTTTTCAATGGAAACCTGCAATTTTTGCATTATGCATCCACCACCATGCAGTCAAGGTTTTTGCACAAATTGAGAATTTCTAAATTTGGAATGTTACTCACTTAACATTTATGAAAAATACACAATATTCTTTGCTAACAAATAAATTTACAGTATGTTCACTATTTGAGTACCTTTATTCGCAAGAACATGTCATATCTTTGATTCGTCAAAGTAACCTCCTCTAGCAGTTATAACAGCAGAGAAAATCTGAGGCATTCTTTCTACAGGGGATGTTAAATATTGCTCTGTTTCATGGAATGAAACTGTTAATTAGTACATTTAAAGGTAAAGTACAATGTAAAATTTGATTATGTCATCACCACACAACCAGTTAATAGGATGTCAGGCATGCACTGTTACATACTCTTTCCATGTTAGAAAGGAAAGTTGTTTTATTTGACTTATATTTTCATTTATAGTTGTTCACTCAACTTTCCAATGCTTAATCTGAAGTTTATGAAATAAATGGAAAAGGGTTAAAAACCTGTGGTGTGCAAAAACTTTTAACCTTGCATGTTAACTTTTGCAATACATTGAGGTGTTTGGGTGAAGAACGGCAAACCAAGTAGCCTGTCAGCTGTTGAAGTTCCACTTAACATCCTTGAAAAAGGTCGTCAGCCACTTAAAGGCTGCTTGGCTTGACAATGTACTGTTCCCTTTGATCTTCAACCAACTTCGTCCCAAAGCCGTAAGAGATAACAATGACAAGAAATTACTATGGCCTGTGAAATGGCATGCGGTGAAAATATCTATGGCTTGTCGTGGGTCTTGAGCTGAAGTTTGAAGAGCTTCCCACTCAGCCATACACTGTTCATGTGGTAAGCGCTGTTTATTTTACCCTGTTTGAGTAGAATGTGCATTTTATGCACTGTTTCAGGCTGCAGAGTGGCTCAGTGACTAGTGCTGTTTCTTCACTCCTCTGGAGTTTCAGATCCAGTCTCTGCTCTGTGTGTGTGGAGATAGCATGTTATCTTCCCATCCCAAGCGATTTTTCTTGTCCATTTTCTTCCCAGAGTCCAGTAACGTGTCGTTAAGTTCCTTGGCATCTCTACACTGAGTACTCTGTGAGTGGCATCCCATCCCGGGTTTGCTCTACATTAAGCTTCACGCCTCCCATGAAACTACTCAGGATGGAATATGCTGTTTAGATACTATATATAAGGAAATCAAATTAGAAGCTATGTATGTGAAGAGAGTTACTACTTTTAAACATTTCCTAATGAGTGAATGCCTCAATAGTTTTCCCAGCGTGAGGCACGTTGAGTAGACACTTAAACCACCACCAGAACACCTGTCATCACTAACATTAAAAATATTTTTGTATACATACCATGGGAATACTGGTTAAGATATCACAGAAACACACCAGAGTCCACAAGACTGCAGTATATTTTCATCACTTGGAAGTTGGTCATCAAATCTGTTCGGAAAGCATTTTATAATTAAGTGAAGCAAGACATGGCTGTTAGTACTGTATTTACTCTAAACGGCATGCTTAGGCTTGGTTTATGAATCACGGAAAGATAAAACTAGAATTGCCTCCGTATGAGTAATAGGATTCTAATGGATTAATAAATGAGTTAATTACATCATACCTTAAAGAAATGGACTTAGTACAGATTTCATTATGTCTTTTTATTCCTGTATGAAATTATATTTTCTTCTACTGTGAAGTACTGTTATATAACTTGCATACTCTGTAATCTAAGTTAACCAATATATAGTACTAAAATAAGAATACTCTTCTACTGCGCTCACCACCATTTCATACTCATGTCAGAAGTAAGTTTTCTTTGGTTCTGTTTGTTCTGTAGACTTATGTTGTGTTTCCTGTGTAGACAGAGGGTTTGTGTCCTCCAGAGAGTGTGGTATTATTCTCTCGATAGACTAGCATTCCATATCCGCTGTAGACTGAGGTTCTGTTCCATCTGTTGACCAAGGTTCTGATACCTCCATAGACAGAGATTCTGTTCCCACCGTATAGTGGGGCTCTGTTCCTCTGTAGACTGAGGTTTTATTCATTCTGTCGCCTGAGGTTCTGTTCCTTTTGCTGACTGAGTTTCGGTTCTCTCTGTAAACTGAAGTTCTCCCTACTGTCCACTCAAACACACATCGGAATCCCATGTGTATGGGATCGGAAGGTTGATGTAGGCACTTGATATTCTTTTTTACATTTACAGAAAATCTAAATCATCCTTCTACAAACTGTTCCTTTTTAAACAAAAACTAATATTATGTGTAGGCCAGTCAATGTCGACCCATGTTAACCACACAGGTAGCAGAATTCAGATAGCTTGGATAGCTTAAATTCTAAAATGCATGGAACACACGTTCTATTAAGTGTAAGCACAAAAATAGTTAATATATTTGGAGATAGTACTTAAATGAATTAGTACATGGAAACTATAATATTCTTGAGTGTTTGGAGAGTCAGCATAAAGTCATGAAATGCATAAAGACACGATATAGGCCAACCGTAAGCCAACAATCAGTACATTTTGTAATTAGGGAGGCCTGCAAAGAAGCTGCAGTAGAAAGAAATTTCCAGGAAGTCAATTTGTTAGAGACATATGATGGTAAGGAGGCTATTTGTGTATTCAACTGGCAATGGCAACATTGATGAAGAGATTTAAGTTGGGGAAAGACCTCCACTGTCCAATCCTTGAGCAAGGTACCCAAGTCCTTCATTAAAATATCCTGTTGAATTTATACACAACCTTAAGCTGAAGAAGTGATTTTGGATAGATATACGATACCTTTATTAACAAGAAAATGTCATATATTTGATAAGTCAAAGTAACCTCCTCTAGCAGTTGTAACAGCAGAGAAAATTTGAGGCATTCTTTTTACAATGGACATTAAATACTGTGCTGTTTCATGGAATGAAACAGTTAAGTATTGTTTACAGTAAATGGACAGCCTAGAATGTGACTATGCCATCATACAACCAGTTATTAGGACGGCAGACATGCATTGTTACATACTCATTCCATGTTATAAAGGAAACTTGTGTAATTTGACTTATATTTCATTTATAGTTGTTCACTTGACTTTCCAACGCTTAAGAATAAAAAATCTGCGGTTTATGAAATAAATGAAAAAAGTGGTAAAAACCTGTGATGTGTAAAAACTTTTCACTGGGAAAATATGTGCTGGGCAATTGTGGAATATCACAGGGTGGAACAGAAAGAGGTGACAATATTAAAGTGTTTCTAGACAGGCACACACACATTTTGATTAAGTGCTAATTTTGCATTATATTGCTGGTCAGGCTGTTATTTTGACTTCCAGTTCAGGGCTGTGATGGAAAAGGCCGGATCAGGACACTAAATATAGTAACTGGTGTGGCACTTAGAACTGTGGTGGGTAATTCTAGTACATAAATGCTAGCTCTCTTGAGGATGTGAACTTGCCTTTTAATTGGTGACTGACTTAGTTGCCCAAAACCTTTTTTAAAAAATTAGAGGACGTGTGAGCAGTCTTGCACCTGTCCAGTGCAGACTTACAAAGGGATACACAAATGCATAGAATCCATACTGCTGGAACACACTCACAAACACGCAGTGGGGTCTTCAGCGTTTTTTTACAGTCAGAGCTACTCTTTCAAAGAAGTACCAAGTTCCCAGTTATGGGGTGGGAGTCAACTCTCGGTGGATTGTGCTGACTGGTGGGGGTGGGGGCAGGGGTGCTAAAGGTGACGGTCTGCATGTTGTGATCAACTGGTTGGTGAGCACTGCACTAACAGCAATTAAGAGATTCCAGTTTGAATAAGTACATGTCATTTGACTGTGGGTGGAAAGGAGAGCATGCAGCGGAGACCTGCACAGAAGCATACTCCATACACATGGGACTTAAACCCGGACTTCAGGGTTGCCAACTTTTGTCAGCTGGCTGACATGAGATTTTCAGTTCCAGTCTGCAAATCTGCACACACATTTACATGTACATAACAGTTTTATTACCTTGTAAATAGTCTAGGTTTGCGAACTACCCCAACACTTTTGATGTAGCTAATTATCAGCTTATAATGAAATAATGCAGATTTACCATAAGATTTCTTGTGTGAGTAGCACACCAGATGTGTGAGATCTGGCAACCCTGGGACTGCCACACTGCACTGCAACCCTGGGACTGCGACACTGCACTGCAGCCCTGTTAGGAAAATAATGACTTATTTTACTGCCATTTACAGATGATATTATTAGCAAAACATTCAGGAGATCATTTTTCCATCATTATGTAAATGGAAAAAAATAGCCAAAGATTTTCTAAATTACAATGTACTCAGTGTTAATTAACATTTGCCTTTTTATCCAGCAGACTGCTGCCTTCGCAGAATCTGTAATGACAATCTAGTTCCAAATCTTTGCTCACTAATACAACACAATGAATATGCCATGAAACTTACTGTCCCATTGTGTTTTCCTGTTATTCAGTCATCACTTTCTGTAATATACAAGGGAAATGACAAATGCGAGCAATTTCCTCTAACTTTATGTTAACACCTGCGTTTTTCACATGGTATTTCATGAATTTTATTCATTATAAACAAAGTGTTAACTGCACCCACTGCAAACAGAACATGTTTTTTTTTCAGCTTCTTTTGACCTTTCAGTTCAGACGCTCCCCAGGTTACGATGGGGTTACGTTCTGATAAACCGATCGTAAGGCGAAAATACAATTAAATACAGTACTACAGCTAACCTAACAAACATCATAGCCTTATCTAGCCTGCCTTAAACATGCTTAGAACGCTTAAATTAGTCTACAGTTGGGCAAAACCATTAACACAAAACCTATTTTATAATAAAGTACAGAATATCGCATGTAATTTACTGAATAATGTACTGAAAGTGAAAAGCAGAATAGAATTGGAATTCTCATCTTAAAGTCTAAATATCATAACACAGACCATCGTAACCAGGGAGCATCTTCATTGCTGTGTGTGTGAAAGTATGCCGCTTTGGTAAGTGCCCTGCCTGTTACTTTTGCCCCATGAAGGCCCTGTTCCTCACAGTTGGTGTCATTTGGCAGTTCTTTGTTTGGGTTGCTATGGCTGGCACCTGATTTTTTCTGTAGTGCCTAGTGCACCCCAGCTTTTCCATTTACTCGATTTGTATATCAACTTGCGCTCGGCCTCGCCGAGCTGGCTGTGCTCCCTGACTTCAGGATCTCCCGGCTGCCAAAGATGGAAGGCGCGATCGCGTCTGGCAGGGAGTCTGTGCTGAAATACAGCGAGCGTGCCTTACCGGGTCGCAGCCGGTTTTCCCCTGGCTGGCTGCGGTTTGAGGGATTAAGGCTGACAGTCTCGCGACGCAGGAACACACCACCGTGCATGGCTTCCTGGCCTGTCTCTCGCTTCCGGGGGAGGCTGACAGTTGTTTTGGATTCCTGGGCCATCGCCAGCCTGACCTGCCTAAGCTGTGGTTGGTTGTCCGGGGAAACGTATCTCTGGATGCTAAGGGGGGGGGGGGGCTCAGTGTTTCACATGAATATGTCCTAAAACAGATGGGATGTCTTTCGAAAGCAGGGATTAAAATTCACAAAGATAATAAGAGGTTTTACTGCAAGTAAACAATCATGACCACAAAGAGGCAAAGTAGTGTAAATAGAGTGAGAGAGATAATTCCCCTATAAATATTAGAAGCGCTATCATTTTTTATTTCGCTTCATTGTTACTGACTCCATTACGGGCAGATGTTCGTGTAAAAAGCGTCGGTTGTGTAAATGTTATTTCCAAGTGAAGTTAAGCTCCATTTAAACTGAAATGCACTGAAAGAATGATTACCCACAGATACGTTAGCAAATCAATATATCAGGCTTAATATCATGATTTAATCATTGGCGTCCTTATGCCCTTTGCCCCGTCAACACACGTAGTCTGCTGATAGTCTATTGTTTACCTCAGAAATGGGATGTTGTTTAAGTGGCAGCCTTTTTGATTTAGGCGTACTTATTGGGGTTAAGGGTGGATTAATTAAATAACCATTGATGAATCTTTACAGGAAAAAATAAAGGTGTGAGCTAACAGTTTCAGGTGTCCAGCTGTTACTTAGGTTACTTAACCCAATTGTTGTCTTCTGATTAGGGCTAATTGGTTTAACTTGGTTGTTTATCGGTAGCAGCTGTGAAGCTGGTTGCGCATGATGGGTTTTTATCCACCAATATGGAAAAGTAATTGGATAGCAGGGTTGAGATTAAGTTAAAAGTCTGAAACAGTGCATGTCTCCCAATGCACAGAGTGGGCTACAAACCAGCATGGCATCCAAGATACCGTAAAGATATTTGGCAACACTTTACATTAACTGCACATTTATGATGCTTTTATAATGCATTCATAAAACATTCAGTGCCCCTACATAATGCATATATAGAGCATTCATAAGAAGCATGGAAGTATACATTTATATTCTAACATACCTTAACAGCCTTAATATACACTAAAAACAAACATTATATGATAATAGCAAACATTATAATAATTTAATCTGTTAATGTTTGTTATTAATGTATATTAAAGCTGTTAAGGGATGTCAGGATGTTAAAGTATAGATACGTTATAGAACATTCTATGAATGTTCTATAAATGCATTATGAATGTATTATGACAGTGCATTGAATGTTCTATTAATGCGTAATGAATGCTTTATGAAGGTGCAGTTAATGTAAAGCGTAACCAGATATTTATTAGAAGCGTTTGAAAGCAGGAGGAATGCAATTTAGGATGGCAGATGTTTCAGTAGTTCAAGTGTCATCCGCAGCGTATTGATGGTTATTATGAGTGCTTAGCTGTGGCCCGCATCCTGAGCAGTGCATTCATGAGTAGGACTTCCCCTTGCCTGACGTCAAGGTAATCCCTGCCACAAACTGCACATTCTTCTTGAATTATTTATCCCTTCCTTTGCAGGATGTATTCCCGCCGGCAGGACAAAGCTTGTGTTTCTGTCCCCCGGTCTGGCCATTGTGTTCATTTGAAGATGCATGTGTGCAGGTCAGATTGGCAAAGAATAGGGGAATAGTCGCTTATTAAAATCGGATGATTGGCTGAAGATTAATGGGGCATGTAAGACAAATCGCACAGACAAGCCAATCTTCTGTTGTATGCTTGATATTAGATGGAAGAGATCTTAGATATGGAACTAATATTTGGGAGAGATTCTATTTTTTTGTTTTAAATTATACATTTTGATTTGAATATTTCAACAGCAATCTTTGAGGTTTGTCATGACCCACTTGCCTATTGGGATATATTTAACTGTGGGACAGAGTTCATGGCATCCTGAACAGGATGTCTTCTACCATTTAACTAAGGCATCCTGGGATAGGATCCAGGCTCAGTTCAACCATTTACTCGATAACTGGGAAAATGGACGGATGGACACATACATGTGTGCAAATTAATTAAAGAAAGAATGAATAAATAAAACATTCTCGAACAAACAAACAAAAAACAAACAACTTTTTAAATAGTAATAAAAACATATTTTCAATAAAATAAGGTAATAAAAATCATGCCTGCTTATAATTTATTCTTCAGATTCAGTCTCTCATTTAATGTAATTTATTGCACATTAAATATAAAGGCCACCAAAACATCGTCACTGTTACGATTCAGTTTTTAAATATGTATTTAAATTAATTTTTGTTATATCTGCGCACATTGTGCAGAGTGATAATAGCAAACAGGGGCCGCAGTGCTGAGTTGGATGGAGAGGGTCGCGCGTAAAGGGCAAATTCTTCAGATGGGTTAATATAAGGATCTCCATGTCTTGGTAACTGAGGTAACCCTGTGAGAAATATCCAGGCGCTCTGTGGCTCTGTGGCTGTGACACTTGTGCTCTCAGCATAGATGGTGAAGGCCCTTATGTTCAGAAAGAATGTTCTCACCCATGATAGTTTGCATTGATGCCACTGTTTTACAGAGTATATTTAGAGAGATCTTGTTGTCAAATTGACATGAGGGGAGTCACAGACAATCAATCAGGATTGTAGGTTGACATATATACCCGTGTGTTAAAAGCCAGACACATTCCAGTAACATTGTCTGTGGATTGGCCAAATTTAAAATGAAGATAATTATTCTTTAAAATCAAAGCAGACAACCAGACATCAATAATATAAAGTATGTTTGTTTTCAACAATTCAATAACAGCAGATCCATCGGTAAGAGGCAGTTTGGCTTCCTGTATGGTGGGCCATCATAGTTTTAATTATGTCATTTATTTCTGGGAAGAAGTCTCTCCTTCAGGGGACAGACGTCCCAACTATCACCATTTGTATTGATATGAAGTTTAATAACAGGATTGATTCAGTACGAAATATCAATCTCAGGAAAAATCAAGGACGAGGATAAAAAGCACAATAATAATAATAGCATTACCATCATCATCATTATTATTCATAATAATTAGTACATATTAATAATAATAATAATGATGATGATGATGATGATGATGATGATGATAATAATAATAATAATTATTAATAGCAATAATAATAAACTACTTGTGAGAAGTGTTTTTGTGTGCATATATGTGTTATGATTGTATGTAAATTTGACTGTTATGTTGTGTGTAAATTTGACATGTTATGTCATTATTCTGCACTTCTAATTCCTTTTAAATGCAAATACATTCTTAGCTTGTGTTGAGTATATTTTTACATAATCTAGTGAAAAAATGTCTAGTCAGTGCCATAAATTCGAATGTAACTTTCCATCAGTTCTTTTTATAATACAAGAACTTAGTTGTACTGCAGTTCACATTTATGTCTTTGTTTATGTATTAATTAATATTTATTGAGTTTTTCTATTGAGTGCTTGAAAAACAGCACTTAGTGTACAAATGCATATATTTCACTCCCCTTTGAAATAACCACAGAGTGATTTTGCCACACCCTTAAGGCCCTGATCTAAACAATGATTAAAAGTCTGTTTAAAGTCACCACACTGTGAAAACTGGCTTCTCTCCAATATGAGTCACATTGTAAAATATGTATATGCTCCATAGCTTTTCAGTACTAATGTTTTTAACTTGATTTTATGTTATCTCCTGTATGTTAATGTCCCCTCTTTTATTTACTGCCTGTACTAATTTCATATTTGCTAGTTTCACTGTATGTGATCTGTACCGAATAAGCGCATGCAAAAAATTCAGTGGCATCCTTTATAATGAAATCCTTTGCAATGAATAATGCAGCTATTGTCAGAAAGGTGTCATGGTGGACTGGGTTAGAGCATCAGTAGTTATTCCAATGGAGATCTAACAACTTGGTCTCCATTCATGCTACGTATGATATTAACGGCAATAATAAAGGAATACTTTCTCTATAAATTACAGGTGTGTGTGTGTGTGCGTGGGAGTGAGGAGGGGTTAGCTTCAGTGCAATTTCAGAAAGACACACGATACGTTTGCTCGTATGTTGCTAATCAGTTCTTGTAGAGCTGTCATTCATTCTTTTCACTATAGTTATCCATATTCTGTTTGGTCTAGAAAAAGTTTTTGAAAATTGCAATGTAATCTGTTACTGAATTACCACTGGTTTTTAGGGCTTGAAAATTTAGTGTATTGCCAAGGTGTACTGCTAGATGTACAGTTTATCAAGGAAGTTCAGTTTAATTGTGAGAGATGATGGTAATTGGACAGATTTGTGAAAGGTATAAATATATAACTTTGAAGTACATATATGCTGAATTTGAAATATCTACTCTGAAAGTATCTCTCCGTTTTGTCATTGCAGGGAACCTGGCATATGAAGGATATGGAACTGTATAAATTTGTTAACTGATTTTCAAATGTGAGAGGATGGATGATCTAAGCAACTCTACCTCCAAACACAAAGACCCAAATGGATTTGTGAACAAAGTCTTCAATGCATTTCCTGAGGTGGGGAACGAGACTGGCATAATGTCCATCCCAGAGCCAGAGGCGTGCGAAACCCTAGCCCCATTCCAACACTCGGGGAGAGAAAAGGGTGTTTTCAGTAGGAAGCCCCGGAGCACTGGGATCTGGAAGATCCTGGCCAAGCGTAAAACCCCCGCGGGGGGTGAGCGGCGGCCCCATTCTATGATCCTTCTCGGGGAGGCATCTGTACCAAAACTGTCATTTGTAGACAAAGTGAGGTCTTTCAAGATGCTGAAGTCCCCTTCCGTCTTCAAGGGCAAATCAGTCAAGCTCCATGGTGGAAAACTTGGTAGTACAGCTAGAGATGAGCAAGAGGATGGTAGCAGGGATGACTTTAGCCATCTGCAGAGAGCACTCTTTAGGAACAAGGGCAAGAGGCACTCGTATGCCGGCCACACTAAAGACTTTGACTGTTCTTTTGAGGTAATAGAACTATCGATCCCGTCGGAGAATGAACAACCACTGTTTAAAGATGCCACTGGTAGTCAGAATGGTTGCAAACCAATGGTTGCATCATACACAAAAAGAACACTTCCCAACTTCTCAAATTGTAATAATTCCTCACTTCATGATGATCTTTACGTGAAGGATTGCCCGAAATCACCACAGACTGGAAGGAAGTCTAAAGGAGCAGATGTCTGGAGCTACCTTAGAAAGATCTCCTTTATGGGGAAAGGAACCTCCAGCTTGTCTGAAAAGAGTTTTGACTCAGAGTTTCATACTTTAGACAAGACAATTGATTCAGATTGTGCCTCAGCCGACTTTGAATGCATCAAAGAGTTAAACCCTCCGTCCAAATCAACGGGTAATGAAAGCAGAGGTGCTCATTTTGGAGGACTTTTTAGATTTTTTAGCAGTGTTGCTGAAACAGCCAGAAAGTGGAAAAACTCTTCCAGATCTTTCTCCCCACCGGAGGGGGAGGGTTCACCTTTGGGATCCCCGTGCACTCAGAGGTCACAAGACTTTGTTCATAACATGTCCGTAAATTTCAGGCATGAGGAAATCAATGCACCTTCTATGCCAATGTCTCTGTTATCCTCTGACTCAGGTTTGAGTGAGGGCCTCTCGCCCAACAGTATGGCTGAGAAAGGATCTCCTCAGGTGGTCCTGAAGTCCTGGAGAGCCTGTCTGGATCCCCCCAGTCCCGATGGGCATTTGTCCAACAGCTTGACTGAAGTGGAAATGCCTCTTGGTTTACCATGCAAGTCAACAACCTCCTTGGAAATTCCCAGCAAGCAAGGCGACCCAGACAGCCTCATTCGTCTTGAGGCCGGAACTCCGTCAGATAGCAGCCCGCCTGGGGAAGAGGAACAGTCAGGAAATGATATGGATTCCATGGATATCTTGGTCTCCTCTGATGAGAAAGAAATGCACGACAGCCACAGGAATGTAGGAAATCAAGAAACCCGCTGCAAAGCAAAGCCTGTACCCGTTGGTCCAGGGAGGGCACTTAAGGTAAGGTCCTGGATTAACAGGTTTAAAATGAAATTCAATTATGTTGAATTATGTTGAATTCAATTATGTTGAAATTTCTGTTCAGTTAAGATGTTTTTTCACTTCTGGGTTTGGTCAGTGAGCAATAGTAATACAACGGATGCTTTATTTTTTTTATTATTGTTCAATTTTATATTATTTTTGGAGTATGGAAAGAAACTGATGACATGATGATTGACAATGTTTGATGTTGTATGATGTCCTCATAAAATCAGCAAATGATTTGTATTTACAGTACAAACTGACACTCGCATGGTATACATACCATTATGTATTTCATACATTATTCCTCCATTCCAATATTATTTTAACTTATTCCATCAGCCTCATCCTTACACCTTTACACCCAATTGCATGCTTCATCTTTTTAAAAAGTAACAATTAAAGCTGATCAGAAACAATTATTTTTTTAATGATATCCTGCCAAACAATCAAAGGGATAAACTCGATATATTTGAGTTTTGTGTCCTTTTGTGCCACCTGCTGGACAGAGCACTAAAGAACAGGAATGACAACTAACAGCTCAGTTGTATTATGGACCTGTGTCACGCCCTATACTGTCATAGACACCATAAATCAAAAGCTTCTGGGCCCATGTGGGCTGCCTGCATTCAGGTAAATTGGACCAACAGACCAAGGGAAGACTGCCATATGCTTGCAGTATTACGTAGATTCATACGTCTTGCTCTGCTTTTGTTGGCCTGAGCTTTCATTCCTGTACTTACCTATGACTTGCCTTCTGATTAAAGCAAGATGGCAAGATTAAACTTTCTAGGACTGAATTTCAGCCTTGATGCATCTAAGATAACAGAAGTGCAAGAGAGTTTCTGTTCAGGTTTGATTTTGGAAGGTCAGGTCTCTGCAAAGCAAAGAGTCATTGATCCTCCAACTGGTGAGCAGTGAAGTGTGATAGACTGTACTATGTCACCCACAAATGCAGGAATTTTATTCAAACTAACTGAATTTGTGCCAGTTATGGAAAGACAGAAGATAATAGTTTTTCTTGCTTCAATATTGGCTGAAAACCAGGGGCTGGCAGGCGGTTGTTGTTTAGACAAGGATGGTCCAGCAGCGCTCGACCGTAGCGCTTTGGCGATCACCTTTCAGAAGCGGAGGAGGCTCCGACCGGCCTCGCTCTACGCCACTATGCTGGGTCGGCAGTCTGCGATCCCAGAGGAGGGCGAAGAGAAGGCGCCACGGAGGTGCCAGGCTAAGTCTGCTGGGCGGCCCCATTTGCCGCCGAGGCGGCCGCTCGTACGCAAGAGGCCCCGCTCCGTAATCGATGGCACGGCCGTGGCCAGGGCCGAGCCCTCGCACCCCTTCAGAGTAAGCCGTGTCCCCCACCCCACCCCCCCCGCCTCCTCCTTTGGTGTGTCTGGCTTGGAAGGATACCGACTTCCTGTTGGTACTGTCTCCTCTCACCACGTATGGCTACAGAGAAACGCTCGGAGTCACGATTCGAATCCATCCAGGTGTCACCATTTACGGTCTGATTAACGGAAAAACCCTTCTAAGGCGGAGTCCGTGTAAGGTGCAGGTTTTTGTTGGCCGTGCGATTTCTGAAAGGATTTAACGAGATCCCTGGGGTTTTATATCCCCGTCTGATCTCAGGATAGGCATGCATAAATATTATATAATCAGCCGCGCGGCCATTCGTATCCCAACCAAAGTGCTTTCGGCCGTGAACGTTGTTCACTCTGGAAGTTTCTTTTTGTTAATCTTTGTTCCAGGATCATCAGCTCAGCATTTTTTATAATCCGCTGCAGGTGTGACATCCAAAAATCGCCAATTCATCTGTTAAATGGCCCGTCCTTGGCTCATTGCCTATAGTAATTGCCACAGAATGCAATAGTATTTGTCACCTTGGATTTTTAACAACTGGTTCTCATATATGATGGGTTTTCTGTATTTTATTTACTTTTGCATGCTGCATGAAACAGCACATGTTTTCAGAGTATGGCTAACATGTCATTGCTTCCATTAGCTACAAAATTTATCAGCATCAGACGTACAGACTCACTAACACCTCATGCAATGACTTTTTTATTTATACAAATATTCTGAATTCCTTCCATCTAAATGTAATAGAAGTTTAACAGAACTGCAAAGTATAATTGTAAATGTAGCCTTTAGTATTGCTCCCTAGTTGTATTAATAATAATTGGAGCAGTTTCCTAACCCAGTCCTTGGGGACCCATAGTCGGTCCATGTTTTTGCTCCTTCTCAGCTTCCTTCCAGCAGTTTCACATTTTTGCTGCTCCCGGTAGGGAGCTGGGAGGGAGCAAAAACATGGACTGTCTGTGGGTCCCCAAGGGCTGGATTAGGAAAGACTGAACTGGAGCAATCAAGCCTCACTTGCCAATGCACCAGTGAAGATGACTGCTAGAAAAATGAAAGGAAAAGACCAGTTATGCCTACTCACCACCCACACAATTTCAAAAATAGCATTGCCTGGTAATGAATCAACAACATGTACATGCCTCGCTATAATAGAGCAACAGGCAGGGAACTGCTGATTGAATGCTGGAACAGCACACACTGTGAAATTGGACATTTTACACTCAGTTCGAATTCCCGCTTTCTCTGCTGCCATCCGTTCTAGGCGTTTCAGCCTGCCCTCCTGAAAATGATCTCCCCCAATAACTTTGCATTCTTTAACCAAACCAGCTGCTGAACGAGGCTGGTTTATGTTGCTGGACATATTTCAGATGTACTCTCTTGGAGTCACAGCTTCAGATTTTCGTGTTGGGATGGCACATTATGTAAGATCAGAATTAAAGCCCCGGGATCAAATGGGATCAAATCTTGTGGGATTTTACCCACATTTTCCAAACACATGCAAAATGTATCTTCAATGCATGTACAGACATCGCCTGACATAAAAATTCTCTAGCTTTTAAGCTCCTTTGGGCTCAGTCTCCTAAAATATGGACAATGAATGAATGAATATTTTAACCACGGGTCTGAGCTATTTTGAGGAACCGGAATAATTCATAAGGTATTTTGAGACAATACCATCATTAATATAGGGACTGCTATAACTGGCGTATTGTATCTACATGTTATTTCTGGATATCTCTCATGTATTAATGCTTCCTGACATGTCTAACATCAGTCACGGTTTAAAATAAAATTCTCTTCCTCATCCTGCATGACAGCATTCACAGTCATCCATAATCATACCTGTTTGTACTACATGTACTTCTGTTTTTGCCCGGGCTGTATCACATTTTGCCCTATAAATTTTAGCCCCTCTCCCGTCCCCCGTGCCTCTCCCCACGGGACCCTCCATTCAAAATGGACCTCCAGAGGTGCCGGTCGCTCCCCTTGTCCCAGAGCACCCCGACAGGGCTGGAGCAGGCAGGCTGGATGCATGAGACCCTGCAGCCAGATGCAGCTCCAGGTATGTGTCCCACAAAGCTCCTACCAGCCAGAGTTAAGGTCTTACATATAGCTATAGCTATAGGAAGTGCACACGCATAATTTGCTACTCCACACTTAAAACAATCCAGGACACATTTCTTGGTTAAAAACAAAGATTTCTGACTACTCTTCTTAGATATCATTTTACAAATGGGCATAGTCCTTGAATAGGACAAAGCAGATGGTTGCTAGGCAACTGGAACCCGTTCTCATTGGAGCTAGCTAATGTGGGCCAAAGCCATAGTGACTAGCTATTTGTGAATGCTGCAATGCTACTGGATGGCTAACAGCTATGCTATTTATTTTCATTTACTCGTTTTTGCAAAAGAACGAGACTATTAAAATTTTGCCTGGCTCTGTGTCACTGAGGATGTTTAAAGGAGTTACTCCTCTTTTTGCTGCTGCTTCTGATGTGTCCTTCTGTCTTTCTTCCTTCCAATCTGGCCTCTGGCGGGACTTTGGCACGCTCTCGGGCTTATCCCCGCTCGCGGAATTCCCTCCACCTATAAACCTGCGTATCGGCAGCTCCTGCTGCTTCACAGATCCTTAGTCAGCAAGATGCCACTCACATTTGTTTACATGTCATTATTTGCAAAACTGCATTTCGTCCACTTCTGTGCTGGCCGTGACGTGGTTGTTTCATACGCACGGCTGGCATGACGGATTGACTAATCAGGGGACTGGAAGTATTTATTCTTTTCTGAGAGCTGGCTGTCACGAGGTGCCTCACAAAGCTGGTAGTGATAATGTGACAGTGTCAGGGCGCAGCACGGTGTGCTAGCTCCGTGGGTTGCACTGTTGCTTCACGCCTCCACGGTTGGGGATTTGAATCTCGACTCAGTTCTATGTGCTTGTAGAGTTTGCATGTTCTCCCCGTGTTGCGTGGGTCCCCTCCGGGTACACTGGCTTCCTCCTGCAGTCAAAATACCTGAAGTTCAGTGAACTGACATCTCTAAATTGCACGTAGGGCATGAGTGTTTGTATATATAGACTGACATCTCGCTGAGGCAGCCTTGTTCCCCGCGCTGCTCAGGACGATCTCCAGACTTCCTGTGACCCGGACACACTAACAGTTATTTGTGCATTATGCAGAGGCTTGGCCCTGATGGTTGAGGGACATACGGTGAAGAACATACAGTACTTTTAGTGAAAGGAGGATTCTGTGCTGTATCTCTTGTGTGCAAACTCACATCCAGGTTTGCAAACTATAGCTCAGTATATTTAGCAAGGTAAACACCCGCCATCACTAATTAACTTCTACGTCCAGGAATTCTTGGAGCTGCCCGCTTCAAATTTAACCCCTACCCCTGCCCCCCCCACCCCATTGCACATTTTCATGAAATGATGGGTAGCGCTGCATGTGGTATGTAATTACTCTCTGGGGATCTGGAGCGTTCTGCCCGACAAGCCGTTCTAGGTGTATCAGATTAAAAGCCACGTGTGAATTGTTAGATCTGATATGAACGGACAGCTCCTCAGGACACATGGTGGGGTGACATTGGGAACACCGGGTGGCTTATCTGCTGTGTGATATCTGCCGTGCATCTCACAGGGGAGGTGACGCTACTGTCGGAGCCACAGCCACACGGGGAACACATGGGCACCACTCGCAGGAGGCTGCTGAGAATGGGCTCAGAACAGCTTCACATCAACAAAGTAAGTCCCTTGTCATCACCTCACGTGCAGTTAGCTGATCCCAGACCTGTGACTGTTTGTAAGGGGGTTTCTACAGCTATGTAGAAAAAAAAACACTGGAATCAACACAGAATTGTACAGAGCCCCTAAAGGGACAGGTTTGGAAAATATTATTTTTTAACAGTTTGCATTTCCTCCCAATTGTTTTTGCATTCCCTCACAAAAATTTTCATTCCCTTGTTGCAAGATGCAAAAACAACTGCGAGTGAACGCAAAAAAATCACCTGCAAGCAGAGACACAAGAACAACTTCAGTTTATTTCCATAGTCCAAAGATATGAATTGCGGTCTGTATTGAGCGTACGTGTGATGGACTGACATCCCCAAAGAACTGTCCCTTGTGTTGTGTCCAGTGTTTCCTTGAATACTTCTTAATACTTCTTAGGTTCAGTGCATTGGATGAAGTTATGGAAAATGCATGGGCTCCTTACTGTTTCCAGTACAGAAATACTATAAAGTTTTACAGAAAAACGTAACTTTAGTTTTGTGATATAGACTGCAGTCCCATACTGAAATCTATTCAGTTGTAAAAATATAAATATTTATGCAGATCCCTCAATATACAATACACACAGACACATATACTGTATATATAGAGAGTGATAGTATATTGTACTTTAATTTCTAATGCCTGATTTCAAGTTTCCAAATGGAATATTAATTTTGGTTTCATTTGTATTTGCTAAAAAACTAACGTAAAATGATGACAGAATCATTTGCTAAATACACATAATTTTATACATGCAGGATTATAGTGATTATATCTTTGCAAATGTTTAACAGCCTTTTTCCCCTGTATATGAAAATTAAAAATCCACATAATATTAGCCAGTAATCCTCTTTTCAGATCTGTCTGTTTTCTAATATCTTCAGGCTAATTGCTGGCTCTCTGAAGAGTTTATAAATATCCGTGTTCTCTTTCGAGTGGGGAGATGTTCCCCGTTCTATCTCCTTTTTTATAATTTATCAAAGGTTTTCGCGTCGCGCGGCACATCTCCCTCTAAAGCCCTGTCCTAAAATAACAGCAGGTGAGGTTTCATCGTGAGCGTGTGGCGAGTTGCATCACTCTGCCTTGATGACGGCGTTCTGGCACGTGATGCTCGGTGACATGGCGGCCTCTGGCACCGCTGGCTGCGCTCCCCCCTCTCTCGCGGGAGGACTATAGATGAGACCAATTTCACCCCGGGACCCTTTTAAAGCACCTGGCTGGTTTGCAGTGGTCTGGGCAGGTCTTTACACCTGTGGCTCAAGTATTTCAAACAAATTTATGCAGGGGGCGTGGCTACAGGTGGACAGGAGGTGTTGCCACCCCACTCCCCCATCAACTATTGCCCATCAGAAAATCCCCCAAGACCTATGAGAGAATTCAGACACTGGTGCCCACCCAACACACCCAAATGCCCATTCCAGGATGGCACCTTCATAAAGTCACTGAATTTATCTGTTTTTAAAACATAATTATATAATAAACTGAATGGGGGACAACACATAACCAACATATATGAGTCGAGTAGCACACATTTCAACTTCTGTGTTTTCGTATTGTTTTATTTCGTTGTCCGATTTCAAAGGTTGTCATTTCCAATGGCTGCAAGTCAATGAAAATTACAAGATCAGCTGCTGGATCACCTGCTCTGCAGGCGGACTTTGTTGTCAAGACGAAGTCGGCTTTTCGTTCTCCAGTATGTTCTGTGTGCAAGAGAGTGACAGAAAGAGAAAAATGAGACATTATTCTAGCCTCTGAAGCTTTATGATATTTCCCTTACAAAAAAATGCATCATTACACAAAGTAATTAACATGAAAGGAAGTCCCAGGATTCGCTGGGTCTGGAGATAGACCTTAAAAGCAGAAACCTTAGCATGGAACATGGTATTAAGATTTAAGCTACCATTGAAGTGGATTAATGATCTTCTACTGCTGAAATATTTCATTGTTGATTGTTGAAATTTCTCTCCTCCGTAATCTTTCACTCCTTCCTTTTAGCACCGGAAAAAAGTTAACATTTTCTTGCTCTGTCAGATTCTGAAAGAACGAGAAATTTGGTCAACTGTCTTGGTAAACAGTTTCAGGAGCAGGATGAGTGATAATCAATCTAATCTCAGAAACTGCTCACTTGTAAAGTGTCACATAAAACATGCTATCGCTAAAATGGATGCGTATGAAACGCAGCAAATCCCGAGATGGAAAGGCTTCTAAGAAGCAATATTCCTGTAAATCAGATCTGTTGACATTTGCGTTTATTGGACAGTAATCTCCGTCTTGGAAGAGCATGCTGCTGTGTTGTTATGTTCTGTTACTTGCAGGCGTGATCTGATAGCGTGACCATGTTGGGGAATACACTGATCACATGTGCACCTTACTGACATAGACACGCATTTATCACCTTAGCACCTAGCGCTGCACGTGCTGAAACGTAACCGCTGCCTTTGTTGGGGAGGGGGGGGGGGATTCATCTGTTTATTCCTGTCCCTGTGTAGCCCCCGGCCGCCTGAATTCCTCGCCCAGTTCCTCTCCCTGATTGCATCAGTTTGCCTTGTCCTATTTTAGTCACATTATTTTCTCTGGGGAGAACACTTTATTCTGACAAAACTTTAGATAGCTTCTTGCGGGGGGTGGGGGGGGGGGGGGTTGGGCTGTTCATCGCTCGAGACGAAGGGCCTGTTCATCACTCGAGACAAAGATCACACTAACGTGACTCTGATGGCGAGTTGCCTGGTGTTTATTCCTGGAAACATTATGATGTGTAATTATATTGCATGAGCTGTTTATTGTGTTATAGCTGAGGTGGAATCGAATCAGAAATAATGAGCTGTGATGGAAATCCCAAGTCTGCTGAAATTATGTGCCATTTCTTATATAACTTTAACCATTGCTCTCTATAACTGCTTCGAAATGAAATACAGTATTGAGCTTAATGATATTATCTGAAATGATGTTGTTTGTTTTTTCGGCTATTTCTAAATTGACGACTGTAGGTTGTATGTTCAGTCGTCAAGTGGTTTAAAAGCAGTGGTCATCTCTGTGCAGGTGAGCAGATTAACACCTTAAATATAATTTGACACCACAGAGTAACGGAGAGCACATTTATATTTAATGGAATTCTAGTTTCAATTTCAGTTCCAAATATTTAGCTACATGAAATATTTTAACTAGGCTTTATTAAGTGAGACAGAAAGTCTACCTCTTTCTTGTAAAGTAAACTTTGTATCCACATTGACTCACACAGGCCATAGTATGAAGGCAATTTAAACTTCAGTTTACTGTTCAGTACTCATGAGGTATAGGGTTTAATTATCTTCATAATTAGCTCAGTAGTAGCACTAATCGAAGAGACAGCTACATTTTACCCTTTACAGCCTTACTTCTTCATACAGTTTGATGTTTGCACAAGTAATTTGAGTAAAACACAACTTGGAACTGAGCCTGTAATCTCTTTATAATGCATCCTTATGGCACAGTGTGAATTTTGAAATGCTCTGCATATGGGCAGGCCGTGAGTGGAGATTCACATTATATTCTTCTCATTCTTGGACGACATCACGTTTGATTTGATTTGTGTTTCCTTGCTATTACATGATGAAATTTTGGCAAAGTACATTCAGTAATGGAATTCATTCCTTATTTGAGAGCTTAATAAGCTCTTACTAATAAGTGTACATGGCTACACTGCCAAATCCAAATTATTGTCAGTTCGATACATCCACTATGGTATAAATTCAGTAAGCTTTATTTTTTCTTTATTCTTATTTTTTTTTACAAGGCTACTCTGTCCATCTAGCTAAAATTAAAGTCAGTATGTCTTTCCAGTTACAGAAATGAAAGTGACTTTATTATAAAATGCTCCCAGCCATTGTACTTACCATTTGCCTTGTTAAAGAGAGTAAAAAAACATCTTTATACAGTATTTAGTCAGTGTCTATGGGTGTTTATGGAAACTGCTGTGGATTAGAAAAGCCTTCGCTGGAATATGATTGTTCCTGATGTCTCTATTGGTGCTCTCACTGAGATTGCTTGTTTGGGCGACTGTGGCCATGATGACCAGATGTTCTGCATGGGATGGAATGTGAAATGATTAGATGGTACCAAGGTCAGGAGGTCACCAGTAAGATAAGGAAGCGATTTCTGTGGGAGCTGTTAGACAGCTCAAAGTAGGATGGGTTAGAAGGTGTGATGTAATAAAACACAAAAACCTCATGTGCTGTGCTTCATCATTGCTGCCTCCAAAGATCTGTGACTCAGCGACAAAATATCAAGCAGTCAAACAGTGGCAGTCCTTAACTTAATAGCAATATGGATTAATATTATCTAATTATGTTGCCTAATAGTTTAATAAATGGAAAGCACGATTAATATTGTTTGGCAGGCCCTATAATTTATCGGTACCTCCAAGGTTGTGGATTCGAATCTGGCATAAATTCAGTTCTATGTGTGCGGAGTATGCAGGTTTCCCTGTCTTTCCCTGGGATTCCCTTGCGTAGTCTGGCTCCTGAGCTCCTCCCACTGTCTAGGTCACGTGAATCGTTGACTCTAAATTACTGAAATCGACAGAGATGAGCCCCTTTGGAAATGGGTATATATCCATGGTAAAAGGCCAGAGAGCTGAGTCTGCTTAACAAGTGCCTGGAATGTCAGACTGACTATTTTTTTTCTCATTCTAGGTCCTGTAAGGGGGTATTTAATTTTTACTCTCAAGATCACTTCACGGCACAGAGCGAGCGGCTCAATAAATCTGAGGTTGCTGCTTCGCACCTCCAAGGCATTCAGCAATAGCAATAAAGCTCAATAAAAGAACGACAGTGATTCATATAGCTCTGCGAGCCCAGATAAGACAGTGGTTACCCGTCCAGTGAGTAAGGAAATAAAACAAGGCCTCGCCAGCAGGGATTTCCAGTTATATACGGCATCTCTTTGAGAACTCCCTCACGGCCGTGTTTACTGAATTTTCTCATCGGAATATTAGA